AGTAGTACTCAATTACATCCCAGATTTGGTATTACATATAGATATAAAATTGCTAATAATGGAAAGTCTTCAAAGGACTTATAGTCCTTTACTAGACATATTGGAGAATTCATAATTACACATTAAAACTTATCAAAAGTGTCCAAATCATCCTAAAACTTGATACTCGTCCTCACCTAACAAATATCTAATCATTGGATTGCTAGACTACTCTAGTCTTACAAATCCAACAATTACCAAAATACCACTAGATAAATATATTTACATTTTCCTTCACTTTTAGCATCATAATTCATTCTACACGTAGGGGGATTATTCATTTTTCACACATTCACACACATTTTTACTATGTTATCTTCCTTTTCAACCTATTGACTCTTTCACTAAAATTCCCCTAACTTGTTACAACTCATTTCCTCTTCATTTCCAAGCCAATATACATGCAATATACTTCATAAAAACCTTCATTTTATACATCTCCAACTACAAATTACTCTCTAAACATACCTTTCATTATGGCTAAAATATTTAACATCACAACTTGAAGTTTTAAGTTATTTTTCTTGAGCATTAAAGGATTGTTCAAGAACAAAATTGGCATCAACATATGGGATTGAGTCCTCCATCAAAAGCCCTTACAATGGTCATTTGTCTTTCTCTCATCACTACTTTTTAGTTTATTTACTCCTTTATACATCAATATAAAGAAGGAAATTATTATATTCTGAATTCCAACTTGAATGTTGTTTATTTTAGAGTTTATTCATTTGATGAAAAGAGCAAAAGGCATATCTACTATGTATTTCTTCTATTCTACAATAGATATGTCCATTTTATTGTACAAGTTGATCTTTACTTTTTCCAAGGTGCTCTAGTTACAATGCAATTCATCCATCTCTTTTGGTGGTTGTGTAATTGTAATCTTAGGAGAATTATCACTGCTCAACTCTTCCAGCTTGGCTGAAGAAGCTTTACTTCTAGACTCTGTTGGAGAAAGTTTGCAGTCTGTCCTTACTAGAGAAGAAAAGGGAAGACTACTTGTGACACATAAACTCTTGCAAGGATGGAGCTTCATTAGGGCTAGAGGCCATGGCCTCCCTAAGATTTTGGAAAAAAAATTAATATATTTAACATATTTTTTATTTTTGATAGTTTCATATTCATTCATTTTCTTGTAAAAAAAATTTTTGATTTTTATACTACTAGAATTTATTTGTGTTTATATTATAATTTAGTACTTGATAATAGTATAATTGGGAAATAATTGGGAAGTTTTGAATATTTTGATTCTTTGGATAATGATTTGTAAAATAGAATTTCTTTTTGTTATGCACACCAATTGTTTGATTAATTATCTTAGTCGAATACACATTATATATTACATTGTTTGATAATAGTATAAAGTACTATATTTTGAGTTCTTTATTAAGGGCATTTAATTAGTGTGATTTCTTTTATTATTGGTTAATTTTACATACAATTAATCTAAGCTTTAACAAATTTATATTTATCATCATTAATTTTTGAATTTAATAGTTAGGATGTCTTCGGGTCTATTTGCACACACTTTGAGACTAATGCCTCCCTAATGCAGTAAAAGGTAGCCTTATAATTTATATTATAAGATATACTAATTAAAAATATGATGGAGAATTAATTTAAAAATAAAAATTGGGTTAAAGAGGAAAAAATATTTGTTTATCTTGAATTTTTTAAAAAAAAATAATTTGTGACAAACTTTTAGCAAAAAGAAAAAATTTATCTGTGCTAGAAAAAAATTTTTGTTAGCCTTCCTAAAATTTTCATCAAGTTTCGTCATTAACCTCTTGCATATGAAATGAGTATAAGTCAAAAAGACCCTCCTTATTTTCTTCTAGGGGTTTCCTAATTAGCTTTCATATTATCTTTGCTGCTAACTTATCAACCCATTTATCTCAACAACTTTTAAAATGAAACTATCATATGATTAAAATTGTTGAACTAATTTGAAAATGAACTTGTCAAATCAGTTGAATTGGAGTATACAAAAGAAAGTTATTGGATTCTTTTTTTTTTTTACCAAATTAATTTATGAAATCAAATTGAGATCTTAATAATTAAAATTATAATTATTTATTGAATATTTTAAGACATGTATTTATTTGAGATTTATTGAAAATATTAATAATTTTTATAATATAATATCATATAAATAAAGTAGTTGAAATTATATTGAAGTATAATTATATTAAAAGGAAGGATTATTATTTAAAATATAATATTAAGAAAAATGGTAAAGGATTGACCCCTCGCAAGTCAACCAAAGGTCAATGTTGATGTGACAAGTGCTTCGTTTGATAAATTTTCTTTTCATTTAAGTTAAATTTGTTATTTAATCCTTATTTAACAATTTAAGCCTTAGTTTGGATTGGGGAAGTTAAAGGGGAAAGGAAGGAGAAAAAGGGGGAAGGAAGGAGAAAAAGGGGGAGATGCCTTCTTGTATTTGGATTATTGATTTTAATGAAGAATAAGGGAGGTGAAACCCCTTCCACTCTGTTTTCAATCCTTCCAAATCGAAGGGATTGGTTTTGTATATTTAATTTTTTTATTTTTTAAAATAAATATATAAAAATATTTTATATCAATTATTTCTTTAATTAGTGAATTTTAAATTTTTTATTCTATTTTATTTTATTTTTCATTAAATTATTTAATTAAATAAAAATATTATCTTTTCCTCTCCTTTTGCTTTTATCTATTCAAACAAAACTAACATCAATACTTTCCTTCCCTTCTCTTTTTCTTTCTTCCCTTCCTCTTGCTTCCCTTTACTAATTTTTATCTAAGCAAATGCTAGAGTTTTGTGTTTAGGGTGCTAGGTAAAGGTGGCAAATGGGTAGGTTGGGTTATGTTTGAGTTGGATTTACTCGGATCACAAGTTTTACGGGTGGGTCATATACGAGTTGCAAGTCAACAAGTCACAAGTTAATACACAAGTTGAATCTTTTTTGTTCTTTTATAATTACTCCTGTTTTTAATACTAATTTATCAAAATTAAATTATAATAACTTTGAACCAAAAATTATAAAATGAGTATTTTCAAATTTTAATTATCATATATGTTTTTATTTTATTCAAAAAAAGTTATTATTATTTGGAAGACATTAACCCTCCAACACTTACATAATTCCGTAATTAATATTACACAATATAACATAAGTTATTTCTTAAACAAAAAAAAGTAACCATCAGAAATTGAGAATTGATATCAAACACAAAAGGAAAATGATGCACCTTGACGCCCACCTTTTAACTAAACAAAAGACCTTATTTCAATCATCTCAAAAATTCTGTTCTTATCCCATTGATAATTTTTTAAAATATTTTCATTTTTGTTCAGTTAAACTATTCAAACCATAGCCTAAAAAAAAAAAACCACAGAGTCTTGACTTTCTAAAACTTGCCATCTAGATGATTAGAAGGCAAATATGAATTGTAAACCAATTATTTGTATAGAGAAGTCAACAATTGTAGACAACATATGATTATTTTCCAATTATTTTGCTTCTCTCTATGTAATTAGTTTTAGTAAAATAATTATTTTCTATGAAATAAATTTTAAATGATTCATTTAATTTTTTTGTTTTCTTTATCAATAATCATATATAATATATAGTACTTAGTTTATAAATTTTAAATGAATATAATTAACCTATTTTGAAAAATTTTATAAATTACAATGGTCACCATCATATTAGATTTCTTTTAAATTATATTTGTAAGTTAATTTGCATTAAAAAATTACCTTATAAAAAATATATTTTTTTAATCTTAAAAGCAAACAAGTTAAATGCATCAATTTGCAAGCCCACGAGTTAAATTGTTTTTAACTCATGACTCGTTCGTGTCAATCCAAATGGGTCACAAATCTAATAGTACTTGACCCTAACTCAACTTTTACATGTTGGGTTAGGTTCGAGTTAATAGGTTAAGTGTGGTTTTGTCACCTTTAATGTTAAGGTTAGTTTTTAAATTTTTCTAAGATTTAGTGGTCTTATTTTTATAATTTTAGGGTTTAGATTTTTGGGTTTTATATTTTATGATGTTTGGGTTTATGTTCTTTAAGGTTTAATATTCAAAAAATTAAAAATTAGAAGACTAAAAAGTTAAATTAAACATTTTAGACTTAAAAAAGAAATAAAAAAAGCTGCAGAAACCAATTAATTACTCGTATTTCATTACCATAAAATTAAAGATGCCTATAAAGATTATTAGTGAAAATATAATTGAGTGTTAATTTTAAAGGCCTATTAGGTATTTATTTAATATTTATTAAAAATTTTAAAAGGCTTATTAAGAACATATTTAATACTTATTAAAGATTTAGACAAGTTGATGTTAACTTATAGAGTAAAAAATTAAATTAAAAATATTTTAAAACTATATTATTTTAATAAAATTTTATTAGAAAAGATTAAAATGTTTTAGTTATTTTTAAAGTAAGAATGAGAATATTTTAATTTTTTATAATATTTTATTAAAATAACATAATTTTAAAATATTTTATATTTAATTTTTTTTTGTAAATTTAACTAATAAATATTAATCTATTAAAAATTTTATAAAGCATATTAAGTATTTATGAGTTTCATTTCAAATTTACTAATTTTACAATATAATAATAAAATTTTATATACTTTTAGATATTAAAAAATTAAAAAACTTACCCTAAGTAACTTAATGATTATCTCTTTTTGCTGAAAATAAGAAATCTTAAATCTTAGTTATATAAAATACAGGTGAGGAGAGATAAAAAATAAAAAATAATTGATTTTCATTTTGCAACCAACATAAAAAATAAATAAATAAATAACTTAATTCGTCTATTAAAAATCGCATAATGAGTTAGAATTGTTAGTTTACGCAATTGTAGGTTTGTAACTGAATATTCTGGACTGCAAAAGGCCGACCCAATGCCCAAAGCCTGATTGAGGGCTGGCCTATCGCCGTCTAGAGACCTGAACCAACCCTAGAAGCTTCAACCAGCCGAGTCGCACATCTCTTCCCCACTAGTTATGGTCCTTCGGCGACCACGTCTTCTTCAAATCCCGGAGTCCCTAAATTTGGAACTCAATTTCTGCATCTCTCAAATCTTCCTCAATGAACAGTAATCCTATACGCGATGTTAAAGCCCCTTCTCAGAACTCCGCTTCCCACCAATCTCCGTCGCCTGTCTCCGCGCCATCTTCTCGATTTCTCTTCAAAAGCAGACGATTGGCCAGTGCTACAACCCAAACTGCAATCCGTTTCCTTGGTCTCCAGAATCTGCAACCTCTTGTGGGATCCCAAATGGGAACAGAACCAGGAGTTCAGTAGATTGAGCTCCGAGCTCAGACCCCATCATGTGTCCCAAATCATTAGTACACACAGAGACACGGACTTGGTGTTGCGGTTCTTTTTCTGGGTGTCTAAGCGGCGTTTTTACAAACATGATGTGGAATGTTACATTTCGATGTTGAACAGGCTCGTTCGGGATCGGAAGTTTGCTCCTGCGGATTATGTTAGAATTCTAATGATCAAAGCTTGTAGAAATGAAGAGGAAATGAAGCGGGTAATTGAGTTTTTGAATGGGATTAATAATAGTTTTGGTTTTGGTTATACTTTATACAGTTTCAATACGCTTTTGATTCAATTGGGCAAGTTTGAGATGGTTGGTTTAGCTTCGGATGTTTATACCCAGATGTTGAATAGTGGGATTAGGCCAAGTTTGTTGACATTTAATACTATGATTAATATTCTCTGTAAGAAAGGGAATGTTTATGAGGCTGAGTTGATCTTGAGTAAAATTTTCCAGTATGATATGCTCCCGGATACGTTTACTTATACATCATTGATTCTTGGGCATTGCCGGAACTGCAATTTGGATTCAGCTTTTCAGATTTTTGACAGGATGGTGAAGGAGGGTTGTGACCCAAACTCAGTTACATATTCAAATTTGATCACTGGTTTGTGCAATGATGGTAGGGTTGATGAAGCACTTGACATGCTTGAAGAAATGATTGAGAAAGGTATTAAACCAACTGTATATACCTATACCAGTCCGATTACTTCATTATGTGAGGCTGGGCGGGAAAATGAAGCCATGGAGCTTGTCTGC